TCGACGTTTCAGTACAATAAAATATTGAATAATAACTACCTATACTTTTATTTATCGATCGATCGATACGCTAAGTTTTAGATTTTTTTAGCTAATTATTAAGAAATAAGTAAGCTATTTGACGCAAAAATGTTATGACGTCATAACTCAGTTTTTCATACAAATTTCATAGAATAGTATCGTGTTTGACGTTTGGATAAATGGATTGAATTTGACTAGTTAGAAATTACCGTATATGACGGTGGCCTTTGATCAACAGATTTAAAAGAGTAACCATGGAGTTTCGTGCTCCTTATTTTTTATTTGAATCTATACTTTAGAAAATAGCACCTACATAGCTTCAATGACAGAATGAGGGACTATTTTTCTATTTTGACGTTTTCAAACTTGGCTATGGTAGTATGATATGGTTTAGTTGGAATCAATGTTTTTTGACTTAGACTTTGAAGTTCTTATGGTTAATAAAAAAAACTACGTTTAAAAAAACCGACTTCAAAAACAAAAAAGTGTCAAATAAGTAATTAAAATTGATATTTTAATAGCACTCTTACGTACGCGAAGCTAATACTTTTAATATTAATAATAAAACACTATCAATTCTATGTGCTACCTGTTCATAGGTTTGAAGTCGGTGCCAAGCGAGGGTTCTAAAACTACTGACTAACTGACGAGCACCAATGTGACTTTTTCCGAGTTATTCGTACTTTCTATGATTATTTAGACCCCACAGACATACGGTGAAGGAAACCATCGTGAGTAAACTCGAACTTATAATTTCTTTAACATTCGAAATTGGCAAACCGGCTTGAGCATGCGGGGTGATTAATCCTCAAACCTTCTCCGTGTGAAAGGCTCTTGCACTTATAGGCTGATGATGATGATGATGAATTCCTATCCAATCAAACATTTAAAACTCAAGCAACTGTACTTAACAATGACTTAGTCGACAACTACACAAAGGGTAGTACCAACGAGTCCTGAATACAATTAACTAAGTGTAATAACTAATTACACAATACTAAAGCTGCCAAAAGAGGTCGCTTACATAACTGAGCAGTAAATTTTCTCCGGAACTTTTTAATATTCTGGAGGTAATGCGGTTGTAAATAAGCGATGTTTCGTACGCTGACATCTTGGTACACTTTCTAGCGTAACAATGAATGTTTCCTGTGTTTTTTTGGGTTTATAACAATAGGTAACATGTTTATAGTAATTCTTGGGTTATTTTGTTGTTGTTGTCGTATTTATTTTACACAATTTAAAACTCCATTTACACGATGTGTTATAGCAATAGTTGTTTTGCATGGTGTAAATGTTATCAGTCTGTAAGTGCCCACTGTTGGACAAGAGTCTCTTCTCTCACGGAAAATGTTTGAGTATTAAGGACCATGCGTGCTCAAGGCGGATCGGATATTTCCAACTTATGATCAGTAACTAATTATAATTTCTAGTTTATTCACGATTTTTGTCTTTACCATTCATCGGCGGTAAAAAGTCACATTGGTGCTTGCCAGGTTTAGACCCATGCCCTCATGCATGAGAAGCGGGTGCCTTAACTTTTGAATCATCACGATACCTTACTTATAACTGAATGGAATATAATGCCAATCATAATTTCTTAGTAAATATTACCTACTTTCTTGCAAACGTTATTATGGTTCCCAGAGAGCCATCAGATTAAGTTGCCATCTTTCGTTGCTTTTTTAGAGTTTTTACAGTGTTACAGTTTATTGTTTTATGCGGATGGAGCAGGGTATAATTTTCCCTGTAAGAGTCAATGTAAACAATGGTTTACAGCACGAAACGTCTATCAAATGCCAACAAAACATGTTTTTATGGCGATATTCTGTCTAAAATACATAATGATGTTTTTTAATGGATTTTAAATCTGCATTCAAATTACAACCGAGTTCCTTTCGAGATAGAGTTTAAAATAGCTTTGTTAAGTGAAGACTTGATAGGAATGCTATAGATTGCAAATTCGTGGGAATCAATTAATCAAAATGGCGGAACGACTTGCATGAGATGAAAGTGAAGCCATGAGGAAAACTTGTATATACATACATACATATAATGGTGTGAATAACACGTGGTTCTTTGATTTATTGACATACAATACTTTTCTCGATTTTATTAGAATACTTAATGTGGATAACTTCGATAGCCTAAGTGAAATGCTATATATACTTACATATAGCCAATCTATCTGACTGAACTTAAAAGTTTTAAGTCAAAGATTTTTGATTGTTTTTTAATTTGCCTTTTGAGTGAGGTTACCTTAGGCCCAATCCTTCCCCTCCCCTAATCTCTCCTCATTCCCGAAATCTCCAGATCCCTAATCCCCAAAAGGTCAGCAACGAGCGAATAGGTTCACTAAGAGGACTGACCGACAGACTGACACTTTGTATCTTTAAAATTGTGTTGACGTTCAAAAGTGCCTGTATGGGTCTAATTGAAATATATGATTTTGACTTTTTTTTTGAAAAACGCACTTTTACCTCCTCCGTCATTGCGGGTGCCCATGGGCGGCGCTGATTGCTTATCATCAGGTAATCCGATTGCTCGTTTGGAGACCTATCAATAACAAAAAAAATCATCTTATGACTTCAACATACCCTGGGTGGGACAAGAGAGAGTGTAAGATACATACTGATTAAAAACCACGTTCTTACATTTGCCTCGAGCTGGACCTCGGTATACATCCTTGCGCTTGTAACCGCAAACCAGATTTTATCATCAGCCTATAAGTGCCCACTGCTGAGCAAAGGCCTCTTCTCACACGGAGAAGGATTTAGCATTAATCACCAGCTTGCTCAATGCGGGTTGGCGATTTCAAACTTATAATTAGAAATTATAAGTCCAGGTTTCCTCACGATGTTTTCCTTCACCGTATGTCAGTGGTGTCTAAATAATCATAGAAAGTACATATAACTCGGAAAAAGTCACAATGGTACTTGCCAGGTTTTGAACCCCAGCTTGAGAAGCTGGCTCCTTAACCACCGGGCCACCACGACCAGATATTAATAAACACAAATTCAAAATAACTTTACCATAAAAAAATCCTTTTAAAACTAAAGAAACAGATGAATTTTATCAAAATTCGAACATGTAGGTAGATACTGTCGTGATCGTCATGATCACAATATATAACCATACAATTAGTATCGCGTGGATGATTACAGTTTTTCATGGTCTATGGACAGATTGAGATTTCTTTCTAATAATAAAATTGCAGATGTAATTTTGAGGTTATATAATTGGGTAGTTTCCTAGGTCAAAAATAAATTAATTCGATGTTTCAATACAATATGAAGTCGGTTAAAAATATTGAAAAATAACTATACTTTTATTCATCGATCGATCGATACACCAAGTTTTAGATTTTTTTAGCTTATTATTGTGAAATAAGTAAGCTATTTGACGCAAAAATGTTATGACGTCATAGCTCAGTTTTTCATACAAATTTCATAGAAAAGTATCGTTTTTCGCGTTTGGATAAAAGTATTGATTTGACTAGTTGGAAACTACCGTATTGAGTATATTTTGATGATTACACTTCTACATTTTTTAAGAGAGCAACGTCCATATAACTTTCAGAAAACTAAAATAGAAATGGACAGGATACTCAATAAGAGTAAATGAAAAATGTTCTGAGCCAGTTATGCACTGGTTTACAAAAGATAGGAAAAGAACAAATGCCCCTTTTAAGAGTGAGAGGACCATCAAATAACTTCATTCGGTCAGGGTGAGGCGAGAGGGACGAGTCTTTCTGACTAAAAACCATTCCGTTACTGTTCCTGCTCCAGCAGCCTAAGGTTTGACTGGACGGCCTTTTAATTAACAGTTCTCTTTTACATTATTGGATAAACACATATCTAATATTAAAATATATTTAAAAAACTCTTCTTGCTAACGAAGTAAGAAGATTTTTAATAATTCTCGGAATTTTCAAACCAAATAATTTGCAATTTCTGCTATGAAAGTAGCTGTTAAAATGTCCCACTTGACCAAAAGTTGTTGTGACGTGAATGCGCACGCGCCGGCTGGCCTCGGCATAACGGTACTACGCGACTCATCAGCTGTTACTCTGTAAACCAAGTGACACTATTACACGATTACCGGTGCACTGTACGGATAGTTTTTGCAAGCACTATGAACTTTTTCTTTAAATAAAACTAGCGACTCAATTTCCTCTTCAATCACTCATTAAAAAAGGCATCAAATTCCGTTGCGTAGTTTTAAAGATTTAAGCATACATAGGGACAGAAAAAGCGACTTTGTTTTATCGAAAGTATCTCCGTCTGTCTGTGTTTTCTATTCGCCTAAACTACTTAACCATTTCTGTAAAATTTGGTAAGTACAGACATAGTTGAACTCGAGAAAGGGCATAAGATAGTTTTTATACCAAAAATCTTCAGGAGGTCACTATTCCACGCAAACAGAATCGCGGGCAAAAGCTAGTTCTAAATATGTGGTAAATATTTAAATATGACCTTATAAGTTAGGTCTCGTAGTTCGGTCTGCCAGTTCTAACAAAATGGCGATGTTAAATAAGCACAATCGAAAAAAACATTAAAATATGTTGTAAACCGCATCGACTTTAAACCTATGAATAGGTAGCACATAGAATTGATAGTGTTTTATTATTAATATTAAAAGTATTAGCTTCGCGTACGTAAGAGTGGTATTAAAATAATTATCTATTTTAATTATTTGACACTTTTTTGTTTTTGAAGTCGGTTTTTTTAAACGTAGTTTTTTTTATTTAGAACTCCAAATGCATAGTGAAAGGCTAACTAATTAAACAAACACCCTCTTCTCACTAACATTAGAAACACCACTCGACTGTCATTACCCAAATTTTCCAACGACTTCTTGAATTATCACGAACACACTCCTGACAATAACAACTAACAAAACAATCCCCTACACAAAACAGTCTGTCTGTCAATATATCTGTTGGTATTGAAGATTACTTTTATCGCATTACAGGTTAGAAGATGAGTGCGATAGTGAATGCGGCCGCTGACGTGCTGTCGGGCACGGCCATTGCTGCCGCAGCCGGCTCACAGGTAAACGTAACTATCATATATCTACACATCTAGGAATCAAAGAAGAATGACTTTAAGATAGTACTCGCTATCATCGAGGCTTTATCTTCGTCTTGTCTTGTTGGGGTTGAGGGGTAACCGACATAAGATTCCGTGGCTTTGGCCTGGAGTAGGAAAAATAACGGGAGGTTTGTAGTCAGTAAGTATTTTTTTGTGATGGGAAAATCGTCAAATGACCTCTTCCCCCCTGGATGTGGCAGAAGGGAGTGTCAGACTCTTACTGACTAATAACATCCCTTTTCTGCTCTAGGCCAAGGGCTCGGTGCCTTATTGCGATTGCCCCGCAAGCCCAGAGTCAGTAAGAGTCTAACATTCCTTCTCGCCTTACCCTGGGCGAGAGAAGCTTAACTCTCCGGCACTTATCTTCTAATATTGATTAGTACCAAAATATTAGTAGCTGCATGTTCAAGTAACATGTACTACATATATACGTCACGTCTCGGCCGACTAGCTCGCCTTGTAACAGCACGCGACGATACAGTACAACCCACTTCCGACTTCCGTTCACTAATCGCCTGTCTTTTCAACGCATCTGTCACTGCAAGCATTGCATAGGTCGATTTGTTAAGTTTTATTTTAGCATTGATCTGCGAAAAGCATTGCTGGTTAGAATGGCATATTGCATCATTCGATTTTGCCAATTTTTAAAAATTATATTATCACCTTAGTACCTATTATGTATGTGTTACAGTATTATCACAATAGTTATTGTGTAAATACATACGTAATATTATATAATTAGCCTCTCTTTATGTTTTTTTACATAACAATCAGAGAGAAAAGCGTCCGTACATAAAAAGTTTTTATGTCTTCATTTCATTTTATGAATCTCTATGAATAACTTTTAAAATCATTTAATATTTCCAATAGACAAAGATTTCGTATCATAAAAGAATTATTCTAAATTTGAAATTAGAACTTATTTATTTCGTAGTTTTCTTAGCGTATTTATAATATGCCATCATCATTTAGAAATAGAGGCCGTTAATAAGTTGTATTATTAAAATTGGCCACAAAAATGATTAAATCACCATTAGTTTTTTTAGTCTCTCTTAATAAGGGGCGAATTTATTATCACGCTGGCTGACAATTCCATTATTTGAGCATTATTTGATATTTAGATTTTAGTAAAACTTATATTGATTTCGACAAAAATAATTAAGTTTCAATGTCTAATTCATGCATTTTGGATAATAATTACTGCAATGTTTGTAAAGGGCTGTAAGTGTGGGAGAGCCATGCCTCGGCACGAATGGGTCGGCTCGACCGGATTGATACCACGGGCTCACAGAAAACCGGCGTAAAACAACCACAGCGTTATGTTTCGCCGTATGAGTGAGGTTACCGGAGGCCCAATCCTTCCCCTCCCGCAAACCCTCCTCATTCCTAAAATCTCAAAATCCCAAATCCCCAAAAGGTCGGCAACGCACTCGTAACTCCTCCGTCGTTGCCGGTGTCTATGGGCGACGCTGATAATCGTACTCAGATGAAGATGATAATGAACAAAGCCACGTGTGTCTTAGCATACATGCTATAGTATATGAGTAGTATAATATGCATATGTAGGTATGTAAATACCTACATACCATTTAACACGTGCATAATTCATTTACTTTATAAAATAACTAGCTACTCTCACGCGGTTTCATCCGCTGCTCGGCTCCATTTGATCGTAGCGTGATGTTTTATAGCCTATAGCACTCAAGAACATTGTAGCTATGTATCAGTGAAAGAATTTTGGAAATCCGACCATCATTTTTAAATATTACCCCCTACATACAAACTTACAAATTTTACCTCTTTATAATATTAGTATAGATAAATACGTCTATGTTAACGCAATAAAAAAAATACCGTGTGTAGTCCTATAGGTTTCTTAACTTGGATCAAGCCAATCAAAGCGCCGAACGTCATTAAATGCGTCAACGTAAAACAAACCCGGGTGCATAAACTTTTCCGGAAATTGGAAACTTGTCTCGCGTTAGCCTTAAAAGTAAAATACCTAGACTTACGAGTACAAGAAGCAAAAAAAAAACAGAGTAATATTTCTACAAACATATGCACAGCTGTGGCATTACATACACATCTATATTAATTTATTTATTTTACGTAAAACTCTATCCCTACAACGCAGGGCTTCAAATAAAAGATCCCTAATTATAGCTTATATATGATTTCAGGTGGCATGGTTCATTCCTATGCTGGTAGCCGCGATAGCATACTATCAGTTTGATGCGACAGACCCTGAAGGGCGGCCGGCAGACATTGGTGACACCAACATGTTGCCAGAATATGACTTCATCATTGTGGGAGCCGGCTCAGCTGGTTAGTGGGTATAAAACCTTTTTTCTTTACGTAAAAAAATGGAAAACTTTTAGTTTAGTGTTTTTTTTTTATTTTTTAGAATATAGAATCTATTTGAAATTGACTGTTTTCATTTGTATTATGTATTTATTACTATGTACAGTATAAGTCGGAAACATATATGAAATTGATGAAACAGATGCTTAGTTTCAAGTTAAGCTTGTATGAATTTAGACTCACTTCTCGTTATACATAAAATATAAAGACATCAGAATAAATTATGTGCAAATCCACCTTTAACTACTAGACAATTAACTGCTCGGCTGGTGCGGTGGCTGGGCAAGTGGCTGCCGGGCAACGTGTGGCGCGTTCGATTCCCGCATGGAACAACGATTTGTGTGATCTACAAATTTTTGTTCCGGATCTGAGTGTCATGTGTATGTGAAATTGTATGTTTGTAACCGCATCCACGACACAAGAAAATCCTTGGATGGGGCAACATTTTATTTTTTTTAAAAAAAGAACAAAAGATATGGCTTAAATTAGTGATCGATGATTACGTATGATAAAACTGACTTTTTTTTCTATGGAAAATGTTTATTTATTTATTTTATTTAAATTGGTTAGCCAATAATTATTACACTTTTTCATTATCATTACTGTTAATAAAAGATAACACATGTGCGAGTATAATAATCACTTAGTAGTTAGTGTTAGCCTACTAGGCTAACACAGCATGCCCAATAGTATTAGTTAACAATACATTATTTTTAAATTATAATTACCTAAACAAACTGAATGAAAATGAAAATCAGTCTATTTAACAATACCATTGATGCTACGTATGGTCTCCCTTCCAGGTGCAGTGGTAGCAAATCGTCTATCAGAAGTGAGCCATTGGAGGATTTTACTCCTAGAAGCCGGTGGAGATGAAACGGAGATATCGGACGTCCCTCTTCTTGCTGGGTACCTGCAGCTCAGCAAGTTGGACTGGCAGTATAAAACTGAGCCTTCGGGAACAAGTTGCTTAGGTAAGTGTCTCCAAAGTAAGATTTTAAGAAGTCCTTAACATTCAGTGTTTTTTTTTGTAAGCCTTTTTTCTACTGAAAATATCCGTTTCATCTATCAATATCTCTTTAACCTTTTGCAGCCATGGAAGGCGGCCGATGCAACTGGCCAAGAGGGAAAGTTCTCGGAGGCAGCTCAGTCCTGAACTATATGTTGTATCTAAGAGGCAATAGGAAAGACTATGACTCCTGGGAAGCCATGGGTAATAAAGGCTGGGGTTACAAGGATGTCCTTTACTATTTTAAGAAGTCAGAAGATAACAAAAATCCTTCTTTGGCACAGACACCGTACCACAGTACTGGAGGATATCTTACTGTATCAGAAGCACCCTACCATACTCCACTTGTCTCAACGTTCATTGATGGAGGTCTTGAACTGGGCTACATGAACAGGGACATAAACGGGGAGAACCAAACAGGTTTCATGGAAGCACAAGGAACAATACGACGAGGAAGCCGCTGTTCTACATCCAAAGCCTTCCTAAGACCAGCTAAAGACCGCCCCAATCTACACATCTCTATGTATTCTCATGCCACCAAAGTTATGATAGACCCTCGAACGAAAGTCGCTTTTGGAGTCGAATTTGTGAGAAATAAAATGATTTATCGCATTAGAGCAAGAAAAGAAGTCATTTTATCAGCTGGTACTGTCAACTCTGCACAATTATTGATGTTATCCGGGATAGGACCAGCTGAGGAACTGCACAAACATAAAATACCTTTGATACAGAATCTTAAAGTTGGAAGAAACCTGCAGGATCACATTGGATTGGGAGGTCTAGCTTTCATGGTTAACCAGCCCATATCAATTGTGGAACATCGTCTGTACACAGCTGGTCCATTGATGGAGTATGCCATGTTAGGTGAAGGTCCATTGACTATAATGGGTGGCGTCGAAGGCTTAGCTTTTGTCAATACGAAATACGTAAACGCATCTGACGATTTCCCGGACATAGAATTCCACTTCATTTCTGGATCTACAAATTCTGATGGAGGAGAGCAGATTAGCAAGATACACGGTCTCATGGATACTTTCTACGATGCTGTGTTCAGACCGATAAATAACATGGATGTCTGGAGTATCATTCCCATGCTGCTCCGACCGAGAAGTAAAGGGTTTATCCAGCTAAGAAGCGCCAACCCCTACGACTACCCATACATTTATCCTAACTACCTATCAGATGAAAGGGATCTGAAAACTTTAGTTGAAGGCGTAAAAATAGCTGTAGCTCTTTCTAGAACACGAGCGTTTCAAAAATACGGCTCAGTTTTGAATAAACATGTTTTTCCAGCATGTGTCAGTATCAAGAGATATTCTGATGCGTACTGGGAATGTATGATTAGGCAGTACACTTGTACTATCTATCATCCTGTGGGGACAGCAAAGATGGGACCTTACTGGGATCCTGATGCGGTGGTAGACAATCAGCTGAGAGTGTATGGAGTGAAAGGGTTGCGTGTCATAGACGGCAGTATCATGCCGAACATTGTGAGCGGGAATACGAACGCACCTATTATCATGATAGGAGAGAAAGGAAGCGACATGATCAAAGAGTTTTGGTTGAAACGAAGAACTTCCAGATATTACATTTAATTGACGTACAAAACAAAGTTTCTAACAGTATTATGGACGAGTGAATGTTGTTGTAAATATTTCCTGTCTCCAATGACTATTGTGTATTATTTTCTATTTATTTATAGCACATAGTAGTAATTTATTTAGTTAAGGATAGGTCGTGATGATAATAAATAATTTTACTAAGACAATGTGTTTTCTCTCGTGCCATTATTTCTAGGTCAGAGACCTGCGATGTCATAATACGTCGTCAGTAACGTGCTGACGCTAATTGATTATTGTGATACGAAGAATTAATTATAGAGTAGTAAAATAAGTAACAGAGGGTACAAAGTATACGTTCAGTTATAATTACTTCACTTACATTGTTTGTTTACGAATCTCCGTACAAACTATTAAAGTCTTTCAGAAAGGCATCTTAAAGCCTTTTTGGATAGTAATTATTTTGTGCTACATTTATAATTGATTCTCCGAATAGTGTTTCCTACCTATAGTGGATGCATAATATAGTGTAATACAATACTGAGACACAAACATATTATATTAAATTTGACATACATAGAACTTGGAATTCGACCAAGAGATCTTCAGTATGACATTGGGTAAAACTTAAAAAAAAAACCAAAAAACAACATTTCTGTTACGAATAAATCAATATTAATTAATTATTTACTCTTTGCACCGATTTACAAGTGTCACAATAGCTACATAATAAACAATAACTTTTACAAAGTGCCGAATCGGTAGCCATTGAATTTATTTCCATATCAGTATCGGATCACCAGTCGCGTGTGTATTATTATTAGTATGGTTTCATCATGTCGAGTCACAGTTCACCGTCACTGCGAGGCCTCCTCTCTAATAACAGGATCACCTTCGGGCTACTGCCAGGCCTCGGCATCGTGATAATACTGCGCATGGCCATACATCTCTACAGACCTGACATTGAAGACGCCGAAAATCGTGTCAGAGATCACCCTTTTGAACAACTCTACGATACATATGACTTCATCATAGTTGGCGCAGGATCTGCTGGATCAGTCTTAGCTAATAGACTGTCTGAAAACCCAAACTGGAAAGTACTTTTGTTAGAAGCTGGACAAGACGAGAATGTATTATCTGAAGTACCAGTTTTGTTCCCTGTGCTGCAAACTTCGTCTATCGATTGGCAATTTCTAACTGAACCTAGTGACGGGTACTGCTTGAGTATGGTCGATAGGAAGTGCAAGTGGCCTCGTGGCAAAGTGCTTGGTGGTTCCAGTGTGTTAAATGCTATGCTATACATAAGGGGTAACAAACGGGACTACAATAACTGGGAGCGTATGGGGAATTCAGGATGGGGGTACGATAGTGTGCTACCATACTTTCTAAAATCAGAAGATATAAGGATCCCTGAACATCAAAACGATCCATATCACAGGACTGGTGGCCCACTTACAGTTGAGTACTTCGCTTACGAGCATCCGATTACTAGGAACATTTTGAGAGCCGGAGAGCAGTTTGGATACAAGATCCGCGACGTAAATGGAGAATTCCAAACTGGTTTCACCCGGTCTCAAGCAACAGTGCGCGATGGTCTTCGTTGTAGCACCGCGAAAGCATTTTTACGACCCTCATCAAAGAGAGAGAATCTCCATGTAAGTGTGCATTCACTAGTAGAAAAAATACTTATAGACGAGCAAAATATTGCTTACGGAGTTATGTTCAGGAAACATGGACAAGAACGTATCGTGAAGGCAAGCAAGGAAGTCATATTATCTGCTGGAGCGATACAGTCTCCACAGTTATTGATGTTGTCTGGAGTAGGGGACGCGGATCACTTGAAAGACGTTGGAATACACCCGATAGTCAATCTTGTTGGTGTTGGGAGGAATCTGCAAGACCATATTGCTATGGGAGGTCATTCATTCCTTTTTGATAATCCCTACAAGAATGGAACACCTTATTGTTTTAATCTACCTGAAGTCTTAACAGTAGCAAGTCTTGTAGACTTTAGCGTTCATAAGACTGGTCCGCTGTACAGTATGATGGAGGCTGAAGCGATGGCGTTTGTGAATACTAAGTATCAAGATCCGAGTGAAGATTATCCAGATATACAGCTATTTATTGCTCCTACTGCTGATAATTTGGATGGGGGTTGGTTTGGTAAGCGAGCCAATGGATTAACTGACGACACTTACGCAGCACTTTATGAAGACATTCTGTACGAGTCCTCGTTTTCCATTGTGCCTTTGTTACTGAGACCAAAGAGCCGTGGATACTTGAAACTAAGAGATGCAAACCCTAATTCCCCACCAATGATTTACCCGAACTATTTCAGTGATCCACAAGACATCAAAGTTTTGGTAAGTACTTTCATACATTTTATTCACATCATCACATACTCAAGAATCAGCCTAAAAGTGCCCACTGCTGAGCAAAGGCCTAATATTACACAGCGAAGGTTTTAATCACCACGCTTGTTCATGGCGGATTGGCGTTCTCAAACATGTAATCAGAAATTATAAGTCCAGGTTTCTTCACGATGTTTTTCTTCACCGTATGTCAGTAAATCTAAATAATAATATTAATAAAATCAAATAAAAATCTAAATAATATTAGTCTAAATAACCATACAAAGAAGTTGTTAGGTTTCGAGCCCGCACCCTCATAAATGAGAAGCGGGCGCCTTAACCTCCGGGCCAGAACGACAATACATAAATTTTATTGAGAGCTTTAAACTAATGTTAAATAAACAAACATTGTATATTATCTTCTCGATAAAGTTAAGTAACAACAAATTAAGACAATCACAATAAAAAATGTTATAATTTTGATAAAACGCCATAGAACGTTATATGTATACAATGCGATTATTTTATTGATGTCATTGGGTCACTGAAGCGAAAAGGTTAATGTAATTATTGTAAAACAGATCATTATGTTATTAAACATAATTGTAATTACTTCAATATTATATTGTGATTTAAGTTAGCAACGTAGATTTCGGTGGTTTATCTTATATGAGAGAGAAACCTATATTAATATCATTATTGTTTACGATAAATGTCATAGACTAAATAAAATGATAAAAATCTTTATCCTTATGTTTGCACAAATATTGGTTGTTTTAAATGACACAAATAACTTCGGATCAGGAAACTAGACACAGCATAACTATTTACCCTATTTACTCTATTCGTTCGTCCGGTGGTCCCAGGAGCGACTGTAGAGCAAGGGGTGTTTGGCTCGAATCTCGAGTTAGGCAAGATTTTTTTTAGGATTTTTCCAAAATTTCTGAGCAGTAACACAGACTTCGAAACTGCTCATTGAAATTGATCATCAGGTATATGTGGCATTACATGCAATCGTGTGTTACATCTGCCCTCCGTTGATAATGCATGACGATATTAAAAATGCTGAAAGTGATATTTATAAAATTTTCCAGGTTGAAGGCGCTAGAATAGTTCAAGACATTGTGAATCAGCCGGCTCTACGAGAGCTGAATGCTCGACCGAACCCTCGTCGGAACCCTGGCTGTGCTGGCCATGAGCTCATGTCCGAAGAACACCTGGAGTGTCAAGCACGCCATCATTCCCTCACGATATACCATCCAGTAGGCACCTGTGCTATGGGCCCACCTGAAGATCCTGAAGCTGTTGTTGATTCTCGATTAAAGGTAACTTAACAATCAGATAATTTGATAGCAACAAATCTGTGTTGCTATCTTATACCTAATCTTTATTAACAAATAACTAATCAATATTAATGTATTTTTTATATGATAGGACGGCAAACGAGTTTACTACAGATTATTTGATGGTAAGCAATCAGCGCCGCCCTTGGACACCCGCAATAATGGTGGAGTTAGGAGTACATTGCTGTACTTTTAGGGATTAGGGTTTTAAACCCCTCCATTTGTGTGGAGATGGTGCCCCCGGTAACCTCACACATACGGTAAAACACAATACTGTCGTTGTTTCACGCCGGATTTCTGTGAAGTCGTGGTATGAAATCAGTCGAAGCCGACCCAGCCGAAGCATGGCTCTCACAAACTAAATTCATAAATTTACATCGTGTATGAGCTCACATCATACCTTTCATCATCCATTAAGGACCAGCAGAAGAGCTACATAAAAAAAGGAATAACATACCAGTTCTATATCATTTTTTTTTCAAGCCCTTTAATTATATAAAGGTCTTACAGCTATACAACTTTTCTAAATAAGCCTATTTATAGATCATTTTAATGGTTTCCAGGTATACGGGATCAACGGACTTCGAGTAGTAGACGGTAGTATAATGCCGACGATTGTGAGCGGCAATACTAACGCACCCATCATTATGATAGCGGAGAAAGCAGCAGACATGATCAAAGAAAATTGGAACGAAATAATCCTTGAACCAGAGCCCGCATACACTATACCAGAACCCGTCGGTCAACAAACCTTGACTATAGAAAACGACGAACCAACAAAAATCCAGTTAAAAACCACACCAGACTTGTTTAACGAAACAAAAAGCATATTCCCATCTCTTTTTAACTATCCAGAACGAAAACAGGAGTATGATACTGAGACCCAAATTGCTTTAAGATCTTATTCAACCGAAAAACCTTTGTTCACTGTATTATCTCAGAAAACATGGCCCCCGAATATTCCACGACGTAATTCGAGAGTTCGTCCACAAAATCCTTTAAGGAATTATCTGTACGGTTCTCGAAGAAGATTTAATCCTTATTATCCACCAAATGTTCCTAAGTATGGTACTAACTATGGGTTATCCCGTCCTTTATACCCTTATCCACAATTGGGTGACCAGTTTTACAAGAACTTCGGTCCAGAACCAAATCCTTTGCAATATTATGGGGGTGATGGGGCTAATTATTATGGTAGGGGTGAGGTAGCTTCGCCTAGCGCGAGGAAAAAATGCAAGCTATGGCTTTACTATAATGGTGAGAAATATGAAGTAGATTATTGAGCACATTTAATGTTGTAATTGTATTATTATCTTCACTTATGTGTATAGGGTGTAAGTATTTATTAATAAACTTTTACATCAACATTGTTTTTATTTATTTATAGAATCAGGCGTTACTTTGCGGAAATCCATGACATTAAATGTTTGTATTTTCTCGAGTTTAGTCACAGTTCAGTCTCTTATTTCAATTAAAGTTACAAAAATCTTTAGCTTCCTTCATTTTAATCCATCATACAAAAGTAGAGTCCCAAACATAGATAGGATACTGATCAAAACTGATGGCTATGCTTATCAACGTAAAACTGATATTGTTTATTGAAACTTTGCTTATCCGAACAGACAATGCAGTATATCAGTGTCAACCTTAATTTAACAGTATGCTTCTAGCAAGTGACATGAATATAAAACTTTATTGCACACTTCAAGTTCTTTAAGTACAGCATTTATATGCTGTTTAGCATTTTAACAATACATACATACATATATAGATACATACACCACATCTGTTACTAAGTGATTGATAAGCAACGCACATCCGAAACCTTTAGTTGCAGAAAGCTAGCTATGCCCTTTAGCTAGCTTTCTGCAACGAAAGGTTTCCTCCTTGGGCAATTTGATAAGCCACCCATTTTCGGAATTAAAAAAAATATACTTTCCACAAAATATCCCTGGGAAAGAAACAAAACTAAATAATATATTTTTAGTGCGTAAGAAATAGCCATCAAGATTTTTCGAGATAAGCCAACAGAGAATTTATGGCATGCAGTAAACTCCATAATTTTTCCTTGTTCAACAATGCCAAACCAGACGAGAATGACATCTGACTGACAAGACGATGCACCACGAATATTAACTGGATATTTTATAAGACTGGCCACGAGATTGTTTCCCGGCTATCTAAGTTCAGTTTAAATAGGAATGGATGGATAGGCATAGCAAAATTTAACTAAAGACGGATAGATTGTGTAGGAAATTATATAAATAAGCTTGACTATAACACGTCAAGCTCAACTTCATTTGAGCATAACAATGGTGCAGGCTGACATAGCCGAAGGGTAAATTCACAAACACAGCAAAACACATTACACCACCTCCAGAAGTCCCACAACAATTATCTGTAGATTGCACAAATATGGCCCTTACTGGAATTGATCTTACTGAACCCTGACCACGACCTACAAAAAATGAAACTTCCATATTCCTACGATGTGAATAGACTTTAAAGTGATTCAAAGAATCATATCCAGGATCCCTGTCATATTCACGAGACCAAGTCACACACTAATTTGGATACGAGCCACTTTATCCAATTCCAGAGGGTTAATTGCCAAAGATAAGCTTTAAAACGATATTTTTTTATCAAGCGCAACAACCTTGACGACACAATAGTGTTAATATATGGCCAAAGTGTATCTGTATCTCCGTCATAAGATAATATAACTAAGGTTTAATTTCCTTTAAATCTATATTTTGAGTTAGGGTGTATTCTCAACGAGGAAAATTTTGCAAGCAACAAAAACATTTTGCAAGCTGTGAGAAGACTACCGGTCTTGTAGCTTGAGTATTAATTTAATAAAACTAATTACCACTATAGGCCAATTCTATCCTATTAATGTTAAAAAATTGTGAAAGCCTGTGAGAAGTTTTTTATTCTTTCACGCACAAACGACTAAACTTTTTTAGTTGAAATAGGTGATTGCCCTGTATTATCAACTCAGGCAGAAGCCAGTTATTCATATTCGACAAAAGCAAAAATTTTACCAGCTTTCACAACTATCCAGCTAAGTATGAGCAGCCCATAACAAACTAATCATTGCAAGCAATGTTAATATCTCTTAAAACCCAAGAGGGCGCTCCGCTAGAGCCGCTTATTGCGATTTAGTTTTTTTGTGACAAAGTTGAGAGCAATTAAGATATAGATGAGTTCGTTCACTGTGATATGAGAATATGCTGACTGCAATTGCAGCGTGGCCGCCAACGGATATGTACATAACTATTCCCATAGTCTTGTCTGCTTACTAGTGACTTCTATTTATCTGCTTATTTTTGGAATTCATTACAAAAATGCTTTAAATTTGTCACTCACGAACAGTTTCAGTAAGCGCATCGTGAGTGACAGTAATAAAAGTTACGGACACAAAAAGTCAATTCAATTTATTGATTCCAACTAAACCATAAATAGGTACTTTTTAAACGTCAAAATAGAATAGTAGTCTGTCAGTCTCTTCGTCGGTGAAGCTAGGTGCTCGTTCCAAATTGTAGATTCGAATGGAGAAGTACGAGCAAAAACTCCAACAGAGGAGTAACGAGTGGGTCGCCGACCTTTTGGGGAGTAGGGATTTGAAGATTTTGGGAACGGGGAGGGATGGTGTAGGGAAAGGATTGGGCCTCCGGTAACTTCACTCTCACGGCCAAACGAAGCGTTGTGGTTGTTTCATGCTAGTTTTCTGCAAGACCGTGTTATTACTCCGGTCGAGACGACCCATTCGTGTTCCCACATTTCCTAACTTATTTACACTCCATAAATGATACAAACATTTTTTTTTGAATTATTTCTTAATATATTTTTCATATAACAAAACTTTATGCTATAGGTACCCTATTTAGGTGACATATCAGATAGTATGCACGAGACTTAAAAATCGAATGTTTAAAAAATTTGATAAATGTTACATAAAAATCAGAGGTTACAAATTAGTGGCCATTACGATAAAATAGCAATAACATAATTGCAATTATCGTTCTTGTGACGTATGATGGGTACCTAAAATGTTTGGTATTTATATCTGGGCTGGTCCCAAAGCAAATCATACTGTCAGCTCTCTTAGAACTGTCAGCTTCATACACTTCTAACAGTAGGAGCTGAATAAAAGAGGTGAGTGAATTTTAAGAACTTATTTCAAAAACTTATTCTTTTAAATTCATTTTGTTCCCTTTTTCTCTAATTGGCAGCTTTCTAAATCCTTATTAGTTAAAGATAGAACATTATAATGAATAAACTTTACCTAAGTCTTTTAAAAATACTACTGTTTCCTAAAATGGGTTAGATTCAGTATTTGGAACAATATTTTAACAGTTCTAAAACCATCCAAGAAATATACGCTCGTGTGATAACTGGTCTCTATTATTTCTGTATTTTGGTCTTTTGGGTCTTTTGATCATAAAAATAGGTGGTTAAGTTTGGATCGACTTAGTGTTTTTACATGTAAGGCAACCTTGTGTTGTTTTAAATCCTTTTCAGTATACTAATGTCAGATAAATTAGGCTATATTGCTTTACTGAATTGAGCCATAATTCTTCTTCACCAGACCAAGATGTCGTGGGCGTGTGACCCGGCGTTGACCTCCAACATCGTGAACAGCTACCAGACAGTTGGTCCGCTGTTCATGCAAACTCTGCAGACATTCTTCGCTGCTCAATGTGCTTTGGTCGGAGACTACTTGTGGCCCGCAGACGCCATCGACAAGGTCCTCGAAGGTAATTATACATTAAAATGTGTCAGAATAGCATTACCTAGCTAGCTTAGCTTATAATTACATAAATATTCTGCCAAGGAAGATCAGCACATTAAACCAAATGTTTTCTTTTCAGACCCCTACTACGACTTCATAGTAGTGGGAGCAGGGTCAGCAGGCTCAGCAGTCGCCCATCGACTGAGTGAGGTCCCAGAATGGAAGGTCCTGCTTGTGGAAGCTGGAGGCAACCCTACCTTGAACACCGAGGTAAATATGTTTCGTATATTTATCTAACATCACAATATTCACATATTTTACTGACTATAAGGTTATAATGAAGAATCGGATAATAGAATTTGTAACAAATACGGTAACTTATAAAATACCTCGATTATATTTTTTTTACAGATTCCCCACCTGTTCTACAACAACATGCGCAGTCCTCAAGATTGGGCCTACAAGACTCAGCCTCAAGACGGTGCTTGCAGAAGTTACACAGCTAAGGGATGTGCCTGGCCCCGTGGTAAGGCACTCGGTGGCAGCAGCAGTATCAACTTCATGTTCTACGTCAGAGGCAACAAAGCTGACTTCGACGAATGGGCAGCTGATGGTAACTACGGATGGAGCTACGATGACGTCCTTCCTTACTTCATCAAGAGTGAGAAATTCACTGGAGTTTACAACGAACAAAACAAGAAATACCACAACTGGGAAGGTAACCTCAATGTAGCCGTTGACAAGCAGTCCCACGACTTCGAGCACATGATCATCAACGCCGCTGTAGAACTTGGATTAAAGAACTCAAGTGATATCAACGGTGAGAGTCAAATGGGAGTTATGACCTCACAGACTACCACCAAGGACGGAACGAGGTTCAGTACCGCTCGTGCCTTCTTGAACCCAATCAAGGACAGGAAGAACTTCCACGTCATCAAACACGCGCAAGCCACCAAGGTCCTGTTCGTGCCTGGAACCAACATTGTTAGCGGTGTCATGATTCACAAAGACGGAAAGGACATCGTTGTCAACGTTAAGAAAGAATTGATCCTGTCTGCTGGTGCCATCAACTCACCACACATCTTGCTGCTCTCTGGTATTGGACCCAGGAAGCACTTGGAAGACATGAAAATCGAAGTTAAGGCTGACTTGCCTGTTGGAGAAAACTTACAGGACCACTTATTCGTCCCCACTTTCTACACTAAGCCTGGTGACAAAAACTACTACTCTATCGAAACCATTGTCAAGAACTTCGCTCAATACGTCTTGGAAGGCACTGGTCCTCTGATCAACACTAGCCCTAACCGTGTCATCAGTTTCGTGAACACCACTGACCCAGAATCACCTGCCTCCGACATGCAGTTCCACTACTTCGTCCTGCCTCCTGGTGTATACAACGTGCTTGACATTTTCCAGAAGCACGGATTAAACGATGAGGCCTACACTAAGTTCAAGAAAATGAACGAAGACAAATTCACTTTGGTGATCTTCAACACTTTGTTGAAGCCTAAATCTGCCGGTAAGATCCTGTTGGCTAGCAAGAACCCATTCGAGGCTCCTCTGTTGTTCGCTGACTACTACAAGGACCCCGAAGACATGGCTACTGTTATCAGAGCGATGAAACAGCACTCTCTGAGACTGGGTGACACTAAGGCTCTTAAGGAGGCTGGTTTCAAACTTGACTGGTTGGACATTGACGCTTGCAAGAAGTTCGACAAGAACAGCGACGACTACTTGGACTGCATCTCTAGGGAGTTGACCTTCTCCTTGTACCACCCGACCAGTACCGCTAAGATGGGACCTGATGGTGACGAGACATCAGTCGTCGACCCCGAGCTGAGAGTACGCAAAGTCAAGGGATTGAGAGTGATTGATGCCAGTATCATGCCCTCTGTTGTAAGAGGTAACACCAACGCGCCTTCCATCATGATTGGTGAGAAGGGAGCTGACATGATCAAGAAGTTCTGGTTGAACAAGCACACCGAACTGTAAATGATACCATTCAGTAAAAAGTACATATAAATTTGTTGCAAGTTATTCTCAATTAAATTATCTTCGTTTTAAATCTTTGTTAAGTTATTTAAGAAATAAAATGTTACGGTTTCCATAACTAAAGCATTTTCATTTCTGGTAATATATTTCCCACTTACATACATACATCGACATTGTTTTCAATACTTTAAGTTATGTACGATGTTTTTTTTACACGGAAAACACAACCTTTATGATATGCGAAATCAACTCTTTACAATCAGTAATGTTATTTGTCACACACAAAAAATATAGGTACTTAAAAAAAATCTCACTAATCAACTTAGATCAATTATAAGAACTGGTTGATCGATCCATTAACATCTATCAATTTTTATTCCATCCATCCATTAAAATGGTACAATTTGTACAAACATTTTAAAAACGCATCATTGTTCTCGAGTTATAAATGAGACTAACGTAAAAACTTTTGTTTTTAAATATATTTTGTATTTATTTTAAATTGGCTATGGCCCAGATAAACAATATTATCAAGCAAATAAAAAGTAAGGAGCTCATATTGTGACTTACACCCAGTTATTTTTTAGATTAGCAGCTACTCTCAGGGTTTAACCGGCTGCTAAGTTCATGAGTAGTAGTGTTATACTATTTTAGCCTTCTACTAAAAAAAAGTCAGCCATTAGCGAATCCAAATAAACCAACAAACATCTCTTTTATAACATGAGAATCTTTATAACATAAAAAATATAATAAGTATATGTATGTAGACCCGCGTTACAACTTAGCAAATAATATAATTACTATTATAATGCATTTGGAATATTCTTGAAATGCATTTTTGTTTCTTTTAACATGTAAAATCTGAAAGTAGTTTTTTGAAAGTCCTTCGTTTTCCAACTAAAACAACTCAGAAAAAATGTTTTTTCCTTTGTACATAAGTCAATAGGACCATGTTGATCGCAACGCTAATCATCGACATACGTTACGACAAATAAAATACAACTAAGTACTAAGCAATGAGATGATGTATGATTTTATATGATAAGAAGGTTTACAGGAGTTTGACATAAGATTTTTTCAAACAAAATGTCTTTAAAAATGTTTCTGTAGTGAGCAAATTTAGAAATACATCTCACTTGAATATGTTAGACTAACAGTGCTTCACCGTTTCAGTCGTTGATTTTGCCTATGTTCACCGGAGACAATGCAGCTTCCCTTGCAAAAATTTTTCAAATACCTAGATCAAGTAGTTTTTAGTTTTTTAGCTTAATTCGAACAAAAAAGCAACCGATCTTTCTTCTTTATAATATTAGTATAGATTTATACATTACAAGATTATTTATTAATATTATATTCTTTATTGTACATATCATTAAAATTTAACACAAAGAGCAGGCTCACAACCACAGAGTATACAGTGGGTGGTCTTATTACACACGGTGATTTCTTCCAGACAACTTTTTGATATATTAATTATATTTAATATTTAAAACTTGTGATTTTGCAGTATGCACATATTGTTACGTTACTATCTAGATCAAAATCTTTAGTTTTTAAGCTTGTTCTCCAGTGTTAAATGAGACTAACGAAAAAACTTTTGTTTTTAAATATATTTTGTATTTATTTTAAATTGGCTATGGCCCAGATAAACAATATTATCAAGCAAATAAAAAGTAAGGAGCTCATATTGTTACTTACACCCAGTTATTTTTTAGATTAGCAGCTACTCTCAGGGTTTAACCGGCTGCTAAGTTCCTGAGTAGTAGTGTTATACTATTTTAGCCTTCTACTAAAAAAGTCAGCCATTAGCGAATCCAAATAAACCAACAAACTTTTTTATAACATGAGAATCTTTATAACATAAAAAATATAGTAAGTATATGTATGTAGACCCGCGTTACAACTTAGCAAATAATATAATTACTATTATAATGCATTTGGAATAAACTTGAAATGGATTTTAGTTTCTTTTAACATGTAAAATCTGAAAGTAGTTTTTTTAAAGTCCTTCGTTTTCCAACAAAAAAACTCAGAAAAAATGTTTTTTCCTTTGTACATAAGTCAATAGGACCATGTTGATCGCAACGCTAATCATCGACATACGTTACGACAAATAAAATACAACTAAGTACTAAGCAATGAGATGATGTATGATTTTATATGATGAGAAGGTTTACAGGGATTTGACATAAGATTTTTTCAAACAAAATGTCTTTAAAAATGTTTCTGTAGTGAGCAAATTTAGAAATACATCTCACTTGAATATGTTAGACTAACAGTGCTTCACCGTTTCAGTCGTTGATTTTGCCTATGTTCACCGGAGACAATGCAGCTTCCCTTGCAAAAATTTTTCAAATACCTAGATCAAGTAGTTTTTAGTTTTTTAGCTTAATTCGAACAAAAAAGCAACCGATCTTTCTTCTTTATAATATTAGTATAGATTTTTACATTACAAGGTAAAATTTAATATTCTTTATTGCACATATCATTAAAATTAACACAAAGAGCAGGCTAGCAGCCACAGACAGAGTATACAGTGGGTAGTCTTATTACACACTGTGATTTCTTCCAGACAACCTTTTGATATATTATATTTAATATTTAAAACTTGTGATTTTGCAGTATGCACATATTGTTACGTTACTATCTAGATCAAAATCTTTAGTTTTTAAGCTAATAATATTTGATTGTAATGTGTTTTGTGCATGAAATAAATAAATAAAATAAAAAAAAATGTTATTATAATTATTCTGGGTATAACGTTACTGACTTACAGTCCCACACAAAAAGTTGAAAAATGCTTACTCAATACTTATTTCAATTTTAAACGAGAAAGTTTGAATGGTAAAACATAAATGGAAGTTTGTTACTCTCTTAAATAAAAACTACGGACCGTACGGAACAAATTTGAAACACAGCTTTTTTATTACAATAGGAGGTAAACGAGCAGACGGATTACCTGATGGTAAGTGGTAACGATCGGTAAGCTGGCACTCACGGTGAAACACACGGTGACAGGTTGGAATAGCTTCGGTTAAGCCGGTCCATTCTCGCGGAAGCATGGCTCTCGCACACTTAAAAGAATATCTTACTTCCTATAGAAAAGGTAACTTACGGAACGGCCAAAAAATTAAGCATAACATATCTATACGCATTAAGTAAAGGACCGTACAAATTACCATATTTTAGCAAAACATAAAGACACAGATTTTGATTAATTTTGACGTCGTATTAAAACACGTAGGTATTATTGTTGTCCCTGAGAAGTCGGATAAGGTAGGTTTTTAGCAAAGCTCTCTCTTAGTAACAAAGAAAAAAACCTACCTACAAAAAACATTAGAAATTTTACCATTTTTCTTTGTGGTGGTATTTACTGTCTCTTTGATGTGCACTAGGAACGCAACGCGCCGTACACTCGGGTCTGGTTCTGGTCGAGCGGCGACCGAACCTCGTCCGCCATCCCGCGCTTTAGTTGTCCGCGCATATACCAAATCTAAGAAACTTGGAAAATAACTAAGGAATAGTTTAAGTAATCATTAAATTAATGTGTAATACCGAAGTAAAAGTCAAAAGTCTGCTCTACCAATATGGAAACAATGTAAGTAATGGCTTAAAAATAACTTAATTAAAGCCTGTCTTATAAAAAACAAACTTACACTACGTTACGTTAAGAGTGCTCGCGAAGTAAACTCGCGATCACCGACTTGGTTATATTTATAAGCAATTTTATTATTTATTCGGGAGATAATTAAGTTTTATCAATCTCAAAAGTTGCTGAGCTATTGGTAGACGCCATTTCCTTATCAGCCAGCTCGATTGTGTCAATGATGATTTTCTTATTTACTTTAACAATGAAACAGTACTTTTTATAACCCACTTCATCATCATCATCATCATCAGCCTATAAGTGCCCACTGCTGTGCCAAGGTCTCTTCTCACACGGAGGTTTGAGCATTAATCACCACGCTTGCTCAAGGCGGTTTGGCGAAACGTGAAATTATAAAGTCCAGGTTTCCTCACGATTTTTCCTTCACCGTATGTCAGTGGTGTCTGTATAATCATATAAAGTACATATGACTCGAAAAAGTTACATTGGTACTTGCCAGGTTTTGAACCCGCACCCGCATGCATGAGAAGCGGACGCCTTAACCTCCGGGCCTCCGCAACGTAACCCATTTAACAACAGGAATTTTATTTCAATAACAAATTAATATTTTTTATGGTATATGAGGCTAACGAGCAGTGTACCGTAAGCAATAAGCTCCAAAAAAAAAACCTTCGAAAAGTCACAAAAGCGTCGCGGGCTTTTTAAGAAGGTATGGTCTTTCTTGAGGTTTTAAATGTTCCTTCAGTAAAATCATGTAATACCCATTTTTGAAACGTTAGAATAACAAGTTTCATGTCTACGTCCATCTTCGTGTAGTAACTAGCAGATAGGCAACTTGATGGTAAGCAATCTATCGCCAACCATGGAAATTAGGAATACTAAAGGCGTTTCAAGTGAGTTGCCGAGCTTTTTGTGGATCGTGAGGATTGGAGATAGGGCGAAAGTATTGGGTCTTGGATAACCTCACTCACGTAGAAAGACGACAGCTTTGTTTCACGCCGGTATTCTGTGAGGCTGTGGTATCACCCCGGTCGAACAGGGCTAGAGGGACGGTTCTCCTTCACTTTTTAGTATTGACTGTTATAATTCTAGGAGTGATACACTGTAAATGTTTGCTACCACGCCTCAATATATTATAACGTGATTAGGAAACCTTATTGTTAACAAATCTATAAATAATATACTTATGCATATAGGTTAAGAAGTTCAATCAAATGCCCTTATTAAAATTATTAGTAACTCAGGAAAACCGTCGATTTAATTTACATATGTAGGTACGTGTTTTGTTGGACACCTGTTACGTTTTTCTTAAGTATTTCATTTTATTAGCAGGTTGAGTGTATTATCTCTTTCTCTTTTTTTTTATAAAAACTTTGCCCACACTAACGTTTTCTCCTGTGTCGTGGGTGCGTTTATAAACATACCATTTCACATGCACAACCCATCCAGACCCAGAACAACAATCTGTGGATCACACAAACAGTTGTTCTGTGCGGGAATCGAACCCACGACATGTTGCGGGCCAGCCAGTTGTGCAGCCACCACACCAGATGTGCAATCAATTATGATTTACCAATGAATATAGGCGATGTAACTATTAAGTTTTTCTTTTACTATATTAACATTTAAACCTTTTCGTTTGCCGGACCGTAGCGTAGATCAAAACAAGAAACAATTGTCAAATATTTATTTTTTATTATTATTAATCACACTAACATCTATAATTATCAGTTAAACCAAATTCGACAGTGAAGTTACTTACATGTGTATTATAAGAAACATAGAAGTTACTTACTTGTATGTATAGCAACAAAAGGAGTGTAATATCTACTTAACAAATACCAAAGCAACTTAAAAACAGGTTGAGATCTAAAATGCATCACATCTCTATGTAACCTGTGACTTTTTGATATGTTCTCAAAACATCTACATGCATACTCATCGGTCAAACGTAGTGCCTAAAACAATTCGCATAGCAAAAACACTCACCAAAGAAAAACAACACAAAAACATCAGGCGCAGAAAAATAGATGTAAAATAATTTAAAAACAGAATTTGAATGTTAAGTTTGCGAATGATAAGATACCGCAGAGTCAGAGCACGTGGTGATATTTGTTTTAGTACATCAATAGTAGTTGCTATGTATATACGAGTATATATATACGTAGCTATCATGTATATATGTGTGGAGTGCGTGTCTCTATCCAACGGTTAGTGGTTGACCGACCATCGATGCATTCACTCGGTAATCTTGTAAATCGTTGTTGACGTGTTGTATTCGAGATTTATAAACAAAAATATATCAAATAAAATATCAGACGAAATAATAATAAACGGTAAGCTAATTTTATTTTAATTAAAATAGTGTTTCAATGTAATTAATAGTGAGTTTGTTTAGAAAAGTAATTTAGGTTTTTTGTGATGATTAAAATGTGTGGTGTTCAATCAAGACGATTTCTAAGTTCATCAGTAGAATGCAAGTATAAGTTATCAAAATAGTATAAGAAAATAATGATTGTCCAGAGCCGGCTTTCTCCATCAGTTCACTGTTACTTTGGTCGCTTTCATCGCGTCATTTCGTTTCTCTGTGCCGAGTTTTATTTAAAATTGGAATAGTATTTTGTTTTAAATTTAAATAACAATTAATTCAAATTTGGAATAGAGTTTTAATTTTAGTTGTTTATACTTTTTTATTACTTACCATGATCACCTTGAGTCAGAGAAAACTCATTTTTAAACATGGAATTACCTATATTAAATATTCATAATACAATTATTATTTATTATCTGTGATTAAAATTCTTTTTTTTTCGAATCTTCGACACGTAATATGATAAATTCTAACGCGAATTCTTTTAAGTTTGAGTGCTCGATGTTTATATTCGAATATAATTTTAATTATACCCTCAACCATTTGAAATATACTTTACTATGTGTTTTGTTTAATATATTATGTATATGGTTGTGTATGATAGGGGTTCGCAATTGTCCTGGCACTTATTCGGACATTATACCTACTTATGTTTATCTTGTATTTGTTTTTGAAGTCATTAGGAACTAATGTCTTAAACTGTACTTGTAGACTAATCAAACTGTTGTTCTAAATCTTTTTGAGTTGCAATCAAAGCGTCTGATCTAGCGAGTGTATCAAAAAACATAGTTTTATTACAATAAGAGTATTTGGGAATATTGATTATATAATCTTAAAATAACAAAACAAGAATGATAAACTCGAATGACCGTAGTCGCTAACGTCAACTTTTATCAAAATAACTATATAGACAACGTCTTGAAAGGCTTATTTAAAGTGTATCTATTTAAAAAACTTATTAAATTAAGTATCTAGAAGGTACAAGTGTGATAGCGAATAAAAGTGAATAACAGTACACTTTTCTTCATAATAATAATATTATGTGTGGTGTATTACCTCTTTAATACTTAAGTTACTGGCCGGTAAGCCAGTGAGCTTATAAGTATATTATTATTTATTTCTTTACGTATATTTAATATTATGTATATTGCCAAATAGAAAAAATAAAACAACAATAATTCGTCTTTGGTATAAAAACATGACGTCTATGTTACACTTACTAAATAGTTTTTTCTTACTTAACCCGTGATATCTAGAACTAGAACGCAGATCTACGCCTGATAAAATCTGTTTTCTATTGTGTCTCATTATCCCGGGAGACGAGAGGTTAAAGATTGAGGAAATATGGAGTTACAATTTACAATACAAGATATAAGTTACATCTTGAGCAAGCATGGTGATTAATGATTCATCCTTCTGCGTGTGAGATGAAGTCTTTGCCCAGCAGTGGCGACTTATAGGCTGATGATGGTGATAATGATCCAAAATAATAACTCTGTCTGTCTGTTTGTCTGTCTTTTCTTCACGCCTAAACTACTGAACCTATTTGTGTGAAATTTGGTACAGACATAGTTTGGAACTCGAGAAAGGACATAGGATAGTTTTTAAACCAAAATCATCTGTATCTATGCCATGTTTCACTCTTATTCTAAAGTTTCTGCGTGTAGAGTAACGAACATCCATTTGTACCAACCAACTTTCACGTTAATAATATTACAAGGATGTTTGTATGTATGTAACTACCTATATATATGTATTTTATCAATTGACCAATTTCAGGCACAATTTCACCCACTCCGTTTCACTTACATTGAAAAAAGCATACTTAAAATAAACGTATAAAAAATATCTTTATCTTTAACAACACACATATAAATTATTAATTACATAAGACTACACATTACCAGTTAAAACACGTTAAGATTAGATAGGAGATAGGCTACATGTACTGTTTATTTAGCAAATGCTATGATATATACAATAAAGTGTTCTTAATGCATACATGAATAGATTCATCATCAGCCTATAAGTGCCTACTGCTGAGCAAAGGCCCTTCTCATACACAGAAGATTAGAGCATTAATCACCACGCTTGCTTAATGCGGGTTGGCGATTTCAAACTTCATCATTATCAGCCCATAAGTGCCCACTGCTGAGCAAAGGCCTCTTCTCATACTGAGAAGGTTAGAGCATTAATCACCACGCTTGCTCAATGCGGGTTGGCGATTTCAAACTTATAATTAGCAATTATACCTAAGTCCAGGTTTCCTCACGATGCGATGTTTACCTTCACCGTATGTCAGTGATGTCTAAATAATTATAGAAATGAATAGATTAATCAAGGACAACTTTACAATAGTAGTAGATATATCTACCTATTCATAAAACAGCCGGGGTTTAGGGGTTAAGCACGATTATGCTCCTACCGCGGCCCCGGAGTGAAGCAGGAGAAGGAACTGGGGTGGTTTTCAGTCAGTAAGAGTCTGACACTCCCTCTGGTCCCTGCCCAGGGTGGGAGAGGACATGATGATTTTCCCCTCTCAGAAGTACATAGTTACATTTATAACGGTACTATAATATATACTTATAGCTACTTATTTTATTTAAATAGGTAGAGTAAACATTGACCATCTTTACATTCAAGGCCAGTAAACGATTTCCATCTTAGATCGAGTGCCTTTAGTGCCTAGACTATTGTAAATGTTGATTTTTTTTCATTAATCATCAATCGTATTTACAATAAGATTCGCCAAAATAAAATAAAAACTTTCATAATAATAGGTATGCGTCGTTTAACAATTTCGAAAACGACTAACCAATTAATTTTTCAATTTATATAATATAATTCATTTTGTATTCCCTAATAATATAAAATTACCTACATCTTCCAAACTAATATTATAAATGCAAAAGTAACTCTGTCTGTTTTTTCTTCACGCCTAAACTACTGGACCTATTTGTGTGAAATTTGGTACAGACATAGTTTGGAACTCGAGAAACGACATAGGTTAGTTTTTAAATCAAAAATCTGCAGGAAGTCACTATTCCACGCGAACAGAGTCGCGGTCAACAGCTAGTTCATAATAAGAAAAAGAAAAATGCTCGTATTAGCGAAATGAGAGTCCAAAGTCAATTCACAGCAAAAAATTGTTAAGATTGATATTTAATTCTAAGGTACGAAGTCTGCAGAATTAATCGGTACTTGGAATATACAAAGCTGTTTTTAGCACGCTAAAAATATGTTATGACAAATAATAATATTATAAATGCAAAAGTAACTCTGCTTCAGTCTCTCTGTCTGTCTGTCTTTCCTTGACACATAAACTACTGAACCTATTTGTGTGAAATTTGGTTCAGACATAGTGTACAACTCGATAGAGGACATAGGATAGTTTTTAAACCAAAAGTCACTATTCCACGAGAACAGAGTCGCGGTCAAAAGCAAGTTTATAACAAGAAAAAGAAAAATACTCGTATTAGCGAAATGAGAGTCCAAAGTCAATTCACAGCAAAAAATTGCTAAGATTGATATTTAATTCTAAGGTACGAAGTCTACAGAATTAATCAGTACTTGGGAAATACAAAGCTGTTTTTAGCATGCTAAAAAATATGTTATGACACATAATAGTGATGAAAAAAGCCTACATATATCATGTACATAGGGTGAAATTTGCGTAACTTTTCTTGTGTTTTTTTATTCTTTCCATAGATACACACATTCCCACATCAATACAATATTTTTTTAACAATAAAAAAATCTAAATTTACTCATATTTTTTATACAGTGTTTTATGTCCTAAATAAAACTCCAAGGTAAAATTCAAAACATCTGAAGTTTTTCAATAATACTATAGGTATATTTTTATATGCAAATTCGTATTTCATCAAATGACAATAAAACAAAAGGCTTATGAAGATCCAAAGTCTGGGTTTAAGTAACAAAGTTGTTCTCACAACTTCAGTAATAATAAATTTTAATGAATAAATCAAAAATATTTTAAATTTGGGAGAGCCAAGCTTCGGCACGAATGGGTCGGCTCGACCGGAGTGATACCACGGCCTCACAGAATACCGGCGTGAAACAACCCAGCGTTGTGTTTCGCCGTGTGAGTGAGGTTACCGGAGGCCCAATCCCTCCCCTTCCCCTATCCCTTCCCGATCCTTTTATCCGCAACCTATATCCCCAAAAGGCCGGCAACGCACTCGTAGCTCATGCGGGTGTCTATGGGCGGCGCCGATTACCATCAGGTTACCCGTCGGCTCGTTTGCCGACTTATACCAAAAAAAAGAATAGATTCTATAGTCCTCAACAGCTTTTCAATAATGCCAACAAAAAACAAGCGGCTGTTTGAAAAAAAGTATTTATTTTTACTTACATGTCAGAATTTTAATCTACAATATATCTTTGACTTTATCTCAAAACAATAAAGTTAATAATCTCTTACTTTATTATTTATTACATAACCAGGTTTTTCTTTAGTCTAATCCATTAAACCAGTTTTATTTCGATTTGAAGGTAGGGTGAGAAAAAGATTCTAAATTCAAAACCTGACTCAATGGTATAAACCTTTTCTAAACACAAATCTTTTTTTTTGTTCTCATTACAAAAGGGTTATGGTTTAAAATTAGAATTTCTTCTTTTTTTTTTAATTTCCAGGTGAAGATGTCGTGGGCGTGCAACCCGGCTGTGACGTCAATGATCTTGGACAGCTACCAGGTAGCTGGTCCACTCTTTGTGCAAACTCTACAGACATTGTTCGCAGCACAATGTGCTCTAACGGGCGACCACCTTTGGCCTGATGACGCTACAAAATCAGTCCTTCAAGGTAACGACAATTTTCATACTAATCAGTTCAATTTCGTGAATAATGATTTGATTTTAATTATATTCAAATTTTTTTCAAAAAGAAAAATAATTATTTTGCTATAGCTAACGAATTTATAATTACAATACTTATATTCGTTAGGAGCTTAATATACGTAAGTACTTGGAACTTGTTTATAATTCGCATAAGGTCCTTTCTGTTTGGGCCTGGTTTCCCACTTCACGTAAAGGTACAAGGAAAACTGGTATAAATTACATAAAAAGCTTTAACATTTAGTAACTAGTAACCTTAATATTCTATGCAATTACGGTTGGAAATACCTTAACGAAAAGGCGACACTATCATACAAGTAGAGTTTATTTGATCATTTTAAGATTCTGTGTATACAAATCTTATAAAGAGGTAAAATTTGTATGTAGGGGGTAATCTTAGGATCCGCTGGTCGAATATCCAGAATTTTTTCACTGATAGACAGGTACAATATTTCAAGTGCTATAAAACATCACTCTACGACGTACAGGAGCCGGGCAGCGGGTAAAACCGCGGGGCATTAGCTACTATATTTTTAGTACTGGATATTATAAACTTAGAAGAAGCAATAGATTCATATATAATGATAAACTTTTTGTACATTTCAGATCCAAACTACGACTTCATAGTGGTGGGTGCTGGTTCTGCAGGTGCTGTGGTCGCTAACCGATTAAGTGAAGTGCCAGAATGGAAAGTATTACTAGTTGAAGCTGGAGGCAACCCTGCGTTAACTACTGAAGTAAGTATAGGTGATAACGTTAGTTAAAAGACAACTTATTGAAACAGTAGCCAATATTATCATCCTACTATTTCGTCATTAATTTCTACGAGGTCCTTTCACAAATAATTTATCCACAAAAAGATTGAATGTACCACTTTTGTCTTCCAGGTTCCACAACTATTCTACAGTAATATGGGTACTTCTCTGGATTGGGGATACAAAACGCAGCCCCAAAATGCTTGTAGAAGCTACGCAACAAAGGGCTGTGCTTGGCCTCGAGGGAAAGTGCTGGGAGGAAGCAGTAGTATAAACGCCATGTTTTATGTCAGAGCCAACAAGGAAGACTACAATGAGTGGGCAGGCAGCGGCAACTATGGATGGAGCTACGATGAAATATTACCATATTTTATGAAAAGTGAAAATTTTACTGGTGAATTCACTGAAGAACGAAGCAAATATCATGGTCGCGATGGTCCATTTAATATTATCGAAGCTACAGAACTAAATCTATTCGAACAACTAACTATACAAGCCGCTGTAGAACTTGGATTGAAGAATTTGAGTGACGTTAACGGTGCTGATCAGATGGGAATAACAGCATGTCAATCAAATATCAAAGATAATTATAGATACAGTACTGCAAGAGCCTTTTTGAGCACTGTTAAGGACAGGAAAAATCTACACGTAATAAAAAACGCCCTTGTTACTAAAGTATTGTTCCATCCAGGCACAAAATCAGTTAAAGGTGTACTGATTAATAAAGATGGTCAGGACATTGTTGTAAACGCAAAGAAAGAGGTTATATTATCAGGTGGAGCCATCAATTCACCACAAATATTAATGTTGTCAGGTATTGGGCCGAAACAACATTTAGAAAATATGGATATTGAAGTTATTGAAGATTTACCAGTTGGAGAAAATTTACAAGACCATGTATTTTCTCCCGTGTTTTATACGATGGAGGCTGGTGAACATTCAACTTCGATTGATGCCATTTCTAATGCATTTGTAGAATACTTTTTAAAAGGAACGGGACTATTTAAAAATACTAGTCCGCATAGGGTTATCAGCTTTATAAATACCACCCATCCTGATTCTTCAATGCCGGATGTTCAGCACCATCATTTAGTTTTGCCACCAAGTGTCTCGAATATGATTGACGTGTTTGAGAAGCACGGTTTAAACGAAAACGCTTATAAACAATTCTTGGAGTTAAACAAGAATCATTTTGTGATGATTGTTTACAATATTGTGTTACGTCCAAAATCGAAAGGAAGAATTCTTTTGAAAAGCAAGGACCCTCATGAGTACCCTCTGATATACGCTAACTACTTCGAGGATCCAGAAGACGTAGCGACTATGAGAAGAGCAATGAGACAGTATGCATTGAAGTTAGGCAAAACTAAGGCGTTTGAGGCAGCTGGCTTGAAATTAAAATGGCTTAAGATCGAAACGTGTGAAGCGTTTGAGAAGTTGAGTGATGAGTATTTGGAATGTGTGGCAAGGGAGCTAACGTTTTCACTGTATCACCCAACGAGTACTGTGAAGATGGGACCTAAGACTGACAAGGGAGCTGTGGTTGATCCAGAACTGAGAGTGTATAACGTGAAAGGCTTAAGAGTGATAGACGCCAGTGTCATGCCGGATGTTGTTCGGGGCAACACAAATGCACCCACAATTATGATTGCAGAGAAAGGATCTGATTTGATTAAGGAAACATGGTTGACTAAACACACTGAACTATAGTGCGTGAATTGAGTACGAATAACATGGCATAGGAATACGCAATAAATTGTGATAAATATAACATGTAATTTTAGGAAATAAACACAAATGTTTTTTGATAACGCTGCCTGATTTTTGTCTTTGTCGTTGAAATAGAATATAAGTATTTTTTAACTTTCTTTAATAAAAATACGAAATAACGATGATATTTCAAAGATAAACCTGCAATCAGATATTAAATTTCAGATATTTTGACCAATCGATCATTCTATATGTACTTACACTAAAGATTAATATTTAACACCTTTGATGTCACGTATATTAAAAATATTATATGATATATTAGTAAGATTGTAATTTTTTTTTGTATGTAGTAAAGATAGAGTTTTTGGTTCGTTCTTCTCCATTCAGATCTACATTTTGCAACGAGCTTAGCTTCACTGACAGACAAACTGACGGATTTACAATTTTTTTTTTATTTGACGTCTCAAATGTATGTTAGTGGAGCACCAAGTAAGATATAGGTTACTTTAAGCAAGAAATACCATGGCTAGAAGCTAGTTCATTATACATAGAATCACGATCTAATTGTTATCAAACTTGAATTGGTTTGATAAGAGCGCTAATCAAACAGAAACGTGTTAGATTGATTTGTTGATATTTTATTTGCGTTTGAAAGATAATGGTTGACAATGACAAATTAGGATTCAATATTCAATAATAGGTTTTGTAGTTGGCAAGGAGAGATAGAAATCTATAATTTAAGATTGGGTTGCGGAGTGCGTCGTGCTTTCGCCGTACATTGCGGTAGTTGGTCGCAGCATAGCCCTTGCAAGCTCAAACAAAACGAGCAGTGAACGAACGCATTTCCGTAAATGAAGCGGCATAAGAGAAAATAATTAAGACTTAATGGTACGTTTACACCCTTGCCGAGATTTAGTAAACGACCACAAGCTCCAACCTTTACACATCGCCAACTTGTTAATACGTCGCAAATGCTTGTCACAAGTTTCCTCTGATCTGTGTTAAAAAACCGGAATAGATTAGATGGACACTGGGCAAGATTGCCGACAAGAAAGAAAGAAAGAAAACATTTATTATATTATGCGCAAGCGCACACACATAGAAATCAAAAATACAAAAAAAAGAAAAAAACTATACCAATTATATAAACTAAATGATACAATAATTTAACAAGCTCTTGCAAGCTCATGCAAACTACGCCAAACTTGCTCTTCACACGCTTGTGTTTGTGGATGCTCGCCGAGACTGGCCAAGCTTGTAAAAGTACCATTGACGTTACATAGCACCCAAACTTTCCCCTTGAGTCTTAGGTAATAAGCAGTGTGTCTGCAATATACTAAACTTTATGGTATTACCGACATATCTGGAATTGAACTTGACATCCTTTGCTTGGCGGCGTTACCTTTGGCCACACAACCAACGAGGCAGTTAAGGAGGAAACACATCAACGTTTATTAAGGTAAAGCTCTAACATTTTACTAATTGGTTGCGCGACGTCACCGCGGTGCTCATAAATGAGAGTCCGGGTGTGACTTGAAACCAGTAGCTAGTTTTCAATAAATTTAGTATATATTTATATATTTCTCAAGATAGCTAAACAATCAATGTGTGTATGTGTGTGTGTTGCGGCAGAACACCCCGGTTCTGATTTAACAGCACCCGGCATGACACACAAGTGTATTTCTGTTCATAATAAAATATGAGCCCATTACGACCCATCGAGACACGTTTATTAACCCTTATTCCTGCCCCTTAACCTACCTATTTGGGGGATCTAAGAAATTGGTAGAATTCGACACTAAACAACGTAGTTAATTAGGTACCTTCTGTCAACATCCACGCCTTGTCGCAGAAATTATGTCAAGAGTATCGTATAGCAGCCTCAAACCATCGTAAAACTAGCCACCGTTACCTTAATTGCTGCAAATATTTATAACAGGATTAGAATGTTTACAATGAGAAACAATTATGTTGATTAAATTACTTTTTATTTGTTCCAAACTAAGCACTGCGGTAATTGTACTAGCGTCTTTTGGACTGGTTGAAATTATAGCAGAGGTTTTATATTTTACCACTGAATTAGTGTGATGTTTTTATAATATGTTTTCATAATAACATTATTATGGGGACACGTAAGTGCATCACCCTAAGGTTGACTGGTGAGAATGCCTACGGCATTAAGTCCGCCTATGTAATGTTTTGTTGCATAAAGTTTAAATAAATAAATAAATAAATAATAAGTGCCAATTGCAAGAAAGCATTATTTAACATTCGTTGATTACTTTTTGTTTTGCAAAGTCATAAAATGGTTTCTCTCGCCCTAGGTGAGGTAGGAGAGAGAATGTCAGACTCTTACTGACTAAAAACCACCCTTCCACGTTCCTTCTTCTACTCCGGGGCGATGTCGATTCGATCGATTGAAAAGGAGATCTTTTTATACATATATATACAATAGAACTTTTCTATTATTTATTTACCGATAAAACATTGCGAACCTAACATTGGATACGTTCGTAAAACGAACTTATCTGAACGACAAAATTGTAATAATCATTGTTTACAATCAACATATAGATACTATGCTGATAGCGACCACCCGTACTTATCAGTTTTTATATTTTAAGTATCAGTTACGACTGTATAACAATAATATGAACCAACAAATACTGAGACTAAGAAAAACACATTTATCAAATTTGGTCGTAATTAAAGATAGCGAAAATATATTATATCATGAATATATCGACTTGAAAGTGTGGAAGAGCTATGCTTCGGCACGAATGGGTCGACTCGACCGGAGTGATACCACGGCTGCACAGAAAACTGGTGTGAAACAACCACAGAGTAGTGTTTCGCCGTGCGAGTGAGGTTACCGGAGGCCCAAATCCAAATCTGTAATTTCCAAAAGCACGACGCACTCATAACTCCTCTGTTGTTGCGGGTGTCCTTGCGGCGGTGATTGCTTACCGTCAGGTAATACGTCAGCTAGTTTGCCGAACAATTACAAAAAAGGTTCTAGTAACAACCGATATTATATTCAATTCAATAGCTTTTTCCCCACGTATTCAATAAATGCCCCGCTACTGTTTGGTTATAGCGTAACTTTTTCTTTTCGATAATGTCTCCAATACAAAAATATTTTTATCCCATTATAATAGTGATTGAGACGGAACTCTGATCATAATCACCATCGTCAACCTATAGGTAGGTGCTCGTTCCAAATTGTAAATTCGAATGGAGAAGAATGAGCAAGAAACTCCATCGTTAAACAAACAATATTTCTTTTATAAGTTTGAAATTATAAGTCCGGGTTGGCTCACGATGTTTTTCTTCACCGTATGTCCGTGATGTATAAAGAAAAGTGTCACTCGGAACTAGCCATAGTCACATTGGTACAACTTAGGTTTCGATCCCGCCCTCTCATGCATAGGGAGCCTTCGGGCCACCATAACAAGAATCTGCGCTTACCGATTTTGCAAGAATACGGGATTTATGCATACCTGAAAAAACAGAAAAATAAAAAAATTAGAAAAATAAGAAAATTCAAATACGAAAATAAAGATATTAGATTCGTAGTTAATTAAGATCAAAATAGCAGGTTAGACGTAGGAAAGAATGAATATAAGTGCCTACTGAAAATAACAGAGCAATTGCACTAAAGAGCAGAAAGACTAATACGTTTATCGCCATATTTGCAAATGGACCACATAAGGTATACGACATTATACATACATTATAGATTTAATAATATATGACTTTGCCTTTTTCAATACGTTTATTTGTAATCAAATTCAAAACAACCCATTTTTTAATGTATGAATAACAGACGATGATCAGTCATTATAAAAAGGCATTACTAGTCAGCCAGTTGATTAACAAAAATGACACTCCGTACTATCGGTTGGCCTGACAATTATTCGAGTTTCCTTGACTATAATCCCAAACCGCCCGCCGATCTACCTGACATCTGACAACTCTGCTGAACGAGTGCTACCAGCTCGTTCAACGCGTATTTATATGAGGAAGAAATAAATACGAAGATAGAGGACTGGAATTTTACAAACAGACGATTTATATTACAAATAGATACATCCAATGGTGTTGCGGAACAGTCGGGGGTTGCGGATTAAGCGCAATGAGGCACCGCGACTTCGGCACAGAGCAGGAGAAGGAACAGGGGGGTTTTTAGTCAGTAAGAGTCTGACACTCCCGAAGGAGAAGTCATTTGATGATATTCCCCTCACAAAAAAAATGGTGTTGCGGAACAAGCGGGATATACCGTGACCACGGTTCGATTCGGAGCAGGAGAAAGAGTGGGGTGGTTTTTATTTAGTATGGGTCTCTCTCTGTCTCTCTCTACCTCTTTCTGTTGCTCCACTAAGGACAGGAAAGCCAATAGATGATTCTGTTCAATCAGAAAAAAGTTGTAACTCGTATGTTTGACAAGAACACGACCTTACTATTTGAACCACACCACGAATAGTTGCATAAAGATTTAAGGATGAGGGAGGGAACAAGTAGTATCCAGTCTAGCTATACAAAAGGGACAATAATAATTACCTAGTCCCCTACATTTGACTAGAGGGATTTGTTAGAACTACCAGTAGTTGTTACAACACTTAAATGTTCAGTTAACAATTATTTACATCTAAACCTAGATGCACAACATATTGAGGTAGCTTCAGCGTACAATTATAAGAGAGCGTTATGGGCAGGACATGGAATGAGGTTATGGAATGGCAGTTCAAAACGATTAAGTTTATCCGAGAATACTTCTATCCCATGATCATACAATAAGTAGCCCCTTAATTGGCTCTGGCACGTATTCTACTCTGCTGTTATCACATGGCTGTGTGATTGGGCAATGATAGCAATAAATCAATGAGAAAATATCTAATGCGTGAATGTACCCTGTAGTTTCATTAAAAACTTTTTCACCCTTGTTTTTAAAAAAACAAAACTACAATTTGTGGATCACACAAAGTGTTGTCCCGTGCGGGAATCGAACTCGTGACACGTTGCGCACCAGCC